CAGACAGACAGACAGACAGACAGACAGACAGACAGACAGACAGACAGACAGACAGACAGACGGATGATTGGATGGATGGATGGATGGATGACTGGATGGATGGATGACTGGATGGATGGATGGATGACTAGATGGATGGATGGATGGATGGATGGATGGATGGATGGATGGATGGAAACCGCTGACGTCAGCAAAGCTGTTTCATGGTGATGTGATCAAATAGAGTGCTGGACTATAAATTGGATGTTTCAGGTTGTTCAGAAAAAGAATTACTGATTAGAAAAATCACCCACTTATGATGTGAATTTTGGACTTTGTAACTTGCAGATTCCTTCTCGTCATGTCCATATAGCTTTATTTTCTATAGCTTTCCTCTCTCCTTTTTTAGATTTCAATGTATCTTTCTGACTTCCCTCCTCTCTCCCTTCTCTGTCTGTCTCTCGTAAGTATCAGTCTAATTAAAGATTTTGTGCTTCCTGCCCCACTGTTTTTAATTGCCAGTTGGGTCACCCTGTACTTCACTCAGCAGTTACTTACTACAACATTCCTTTCCTTTTTAAAAATCTCCTAATTAAACCTTAAGGACTGCGAGACGATTGTTGTTGCATTAAACATTATGAGGAGTCAGGAAATACCTTAGCTCCTCTCACTCCTGGATCACACGATTGAAGAGTGGTTGCCATTGTAGCAATCAGACATTGTCWGATCTCATCAATCAGCTGATGTGTGCGTGCGTGTGTGTGTGTGTGTTTCCTTGTGTGTGTTTATCTGTTCATCTGTAACAGAGACAACAGTTCTGCCTCAGGTCACCTATTTTTTCCCATTAATAAGGCTCAATCTGTGAAGGCTGAACAGGGGCCAAATAGTGCTTGTCACATTTCCTGTTACGGTCCCAGGGTGAACTGTCTGTCATCTTGATTGATTACATTGCCAGCTCGTATAATGCTTGCCTTGCAGTATGTTACCACTCAGCACCACACAACACGGCTTTCTTCTTGGCAAGGAACGTGCACTTCCTTCAAACAAATTATTGCAGATAATCCCAGTTTGTGTGGGACAAACACACAAACTGTCCCAAAAATGTGTTTTGGTGAACGTAGTTTTGCTCTTGAAGTTGATGAGAAGAAAGGCTCTGTCATATATTTGTGGGTTTTGGAAATATACTTTGATGCAGGATCATCTGAAAACCTCATTAGATACAAGAAGAAATATCTGAACTGCCAGAGGAAATGCAAGGTTTTTTTTGTGACTGTCAGTTGTCAGAAGAAGGGAGTTGCATTTTTTTCTTGCTTTATTAAATCAAAGGGGTATTTTCTGCTTCTCTGCAAGACTTCTATCTTGTTTGAGTAACCAAAAAAAATGTGATTATGAAAGAAAGAAAAGATTGGAAACTGAAAAATACCACCAAGGAAAAAGTTAATAATATTGTAATTGCATCAGCTTTACTATTAACAGTAATCTAAAGTAAATACATTACGAGYGAAAAGATGACTGGAAGTATTTCTGTTGTATTTTAATATATGTTTTATAAAAAAAAAAATTCTGAATCATATTCAGTAAAATAACAAACTTCCACTGTAATTTCTGCCTCATGAAGACTAAACTCCAGATTTATTTAAAGTACAGCCTACAATTGTTTTAGCACTATGTCATCAACAATCTTTTTTCCACCTGTTATACAAACTTGAATAGAAAAATATTGTTTGCCTATTTTCTAAATTCTTTTAGAAATGACATTTGGGTTTAAGGGATTACTCTCTCATTTGAAATGGATTTGAACTTCGCAGCTTATTCAAAGATTGGCACATTGCTTGGATTTTTATTGTTATGAGTTTTGAGCTTTACTTAAGCCTCTAAAAGTTTTTACTTCACATTTTGAACTGCTTTTTATTTTCCATACTTCTACCTTGCAGTTTACAGCTTTGGTTTCTTGGCTCTTTCATTTAGAACAAATAATACAAAGTGACACCAAATGGCCTTCTTCCATGTGCCGGCCAAGAACTAGTTTTATTAAATTAAATTGGACCATGGGAGAATGCTGCACTGAACATTTTAGATATGATAATATTTAAACTTTTTCAAAGCATTTTCTGATACCAATAATTTCACCCATCTATTATTTTCCTAATTATTATTTTTTATGAATGATAGCCCTTTTCTGTATGTTCTATTTTCTCCAGGCTGCCAGCTTCAACTGTACAAAACACAAGTACATGACTGAGAACTCTGCATCTCATGATGGACAAGAAAAGTGGTGAGTGCCGCTAAGATTGTGGTAAAACAAACAATGCCCTTGTTTCTAACACGCGCCGCTTTTCACATCTTATTTCCCCAACTGTAACACCCATAATTAGTCATGCCCAATTCTATTTTGCTTCATTATGCAGCTATTATACAGCACAAAAGGTAAAACATTTAGCCTGATTATTATGTGTGTGCCTAACGGCAGCCAAAGGCTTTTTTTCCCCTTCAGGTGATAAACACCCCTTGTCTCATACTGTATGCCTAAGCTGGCACAACACGAGCCATATTTTACATGGTGACTCATTTGTTTTGGCACAATCGCTGCATGATAATTATTTCCCAGTAAGTGATATGGCTTTACATACAAAAGAGCCTTGGTTCAACACATTGCAGCCTAACTATATGAGTGGAAAGCAACCATGATGCTGATAGTAAAGCATAATTTGTTCATCTTTGACTAATTACATTTCACTCTCAAATTTGAATTGATTCAGCATATTGAATGCCAATTATTGTATTAATCAGTRAAATTTTGGGGTAAAACACAGACATATTTTATTTTGTATAACATTTTATTCATGTTTATTCATTACAGCCAATGGCTTTCAGACCAAGGCCAGTGAGGGCGGTGTTCAGAGGAAGCAATTACCCTATTCAGTGGAGACACCCTATGGCTTCCACCTGGATCTTGACTTCCTCAAATATGTCGATGAYATCGAAAAAGGGAATACAATCAAAAGGGTCCACATCCAGCGCAGGGTAAAGGGCCCAGCCAAATTCAGCACTCTGCCAAGAAATTTCAGTCTCCCTGGCCATGGTGTCAGGGCACCCCTTAGGGAAATGGACAGCACATGGTCTGGGACATCCACCTTAGGGCCAAAGCCTAAATCACGTGTGATGGAGGTCCAGCAAATCTTTGACTTCCGGGCAAGTGAGGGAGGAATTCCCRGCCATAGCAGCAGAGGGACAACTAGTCACGGAACTGGATATGCTTCCACTAAATCTAGAGATGAAACAGGGACAGGGCCTCAAGGTGTTGAAGACAAACCTGCTTCAACTCAAAGTCGTCCAAATCTCCTAAGAGCCTCGAGCATGCCCATCACCCTTCAGCAGCGCAAAGGCTCAGATTCCAGCAGCCCTGACTGCAGTGTGCCCACACCAGAAAATGGCTCAACGGAGAAYGTGTTCCGTGCTTCACCAGACATAATCGAAAGACGGTGTCTTCCACAAGATCGGGCAGGTCTTCACCAGCAGATTACGGTGGCTTTGAAGAGAGTCAGAGAGCTAGAAGAACAGGTCAAAACTATCCCAGAATTAAAGGCTCAGATCTGCTCTTTGAGGGAGGAACGTGAGAAATTGTTGCTTCAGTTACAAGCTCATTCCCAAGTGCAGGTTTCTGCATCATCCTCTGCAGTAGAAACAGCTGATGACACAGGGTCAAGAAGTCATTCCCAGGTGGCAACACAGCCCACTGGAGTTTCAGTTTCTGAGAGYGTGCTAGTAAAAACAAAAGAGAGAGAAGGTGGGACAGAGAGAACTAAAGCGTTACCAGAGGAGAGGCAGACTTCCATATCACAGAAACAAACTSTACCATCAGACAAATTAGACAAACAAAAAGAAACCCCCAAAAGGCAACTGGAACATGCAGTGGAAAACCTATCAAAGGAAAGTGAAGAACAGAAATTAGTATCACTTAAGGTAATTAGAAAAGAAAAAGAGATTAGCAGTAGTCAAGATAGTAATGTGGCAAAAGAAGGACGCTTTGAGGACCAAAACGGAATGCAGAAGCTGCAGGAGAAGCTCGTAGTACTGGAGACAAAACTTACTCAGGCGAGCCAAGAGCTCGAGAAAACAAATGGTCTTTTGAAAGAACAAATGAAAGAGAACAAAGCAAAAGAGGATAGAATTTTACAACTAAGTGAAGGGATGAGAGTGGAAATTTGTACCACCCAAATAGGGCAGCCAAGAAGAGAAAGYATTGATAAGGGCACAGTCACAGAAAATATTAATTTCACCAATCAAAGCAAAGAGACAGARTCACCCGCTACTGTAGATCAGGGGACAGATACAGATACAATATGTATTGAAGTGGTTGTACCCAAACCAAGAGCTGGAAGTATAGATCAAGGAACAGTGACGAGTAAAATGGACCTACAGGACCAAGAAACAGAGATAGAGGCAGAGAGAACAGAGGTGATTCCACCTCGACACAGAGCCAACAGCATGGAACGGGGCACGGTAACGGAGAGCATTATCACTCAGGATCAGACGACTGAGACGCCTGTTGCTGAAAGAGTGAACCAAGTGACGGAAACAGAGGGAGAGACAGTAACAGACCATCCACACAGACTGAGGGCCAGCAGTGTAGACCGAGAAACAGAAACTGAAAGGGTGAACACTGTGGACAGGGTCACAGAGACAGAGGTAGCACAGAGGACAGACCAGCAAACAGAAACAGAGACAGAAAGACAACATTCCAACAATCCAAGCAGGGATGCGGCAACAGACAGTCAAGAGAGGGATAATGAAAAAAGCCAAAGAGATGAGGTAGGTACTATGGTCAGTGACACAACAGAAGACACAAGAACAGAGGAAGCCATTCAAAGAGATGATGAAAGTATTATCGTGGAAGKTTCTACAGATAAATCACTTACAGTTGCTGAAGACAAAACTTTAGATTCAGCTGTTGWAGAACTGACCAACGTGGTTTCCAGTCCAGTTTCTGTAACAGTGGATAATAAAATTGAAGTCAGTACTACCCAAAAGGACTCAGAAGTAAAAGAAACTCATCCCTCAAAGAGTGTGCAAATGGTTGAACCCGAGAAGGTTGTTGTGGAGACATCAGAAAAAAAGGACAAAGAAAAAGAAAAAATTGCATGTAAACCAGTCAAAAACAATGTGATCACTGACAGTGTCGTAGGAACAGAAGAGAGTTCAGTTGTAAAAACAGCCGCTCCTGTTAGACCGCTGAGAGGTCGGAAGCCTTCAGCAGAGCAAGCACAGCCATCACCTCCTCAACCGCAGGCAGCACCTGTGCGCCCTCGTAGGGGATCCAGTGAAACTCAAGCTCAGCAGACCCCGACAAAGACTCAGACTGCAACCCAGCCGGAGGCTCAGTCTTTAGTACCGAGCTCCGAATCGCAGGAAAAACATAAAACACCATCTGTGCCTCGTGTTGAAGACCATAGCCAAGTTAAGAAGTTGCCTGAGGAGTCACTTGAGAAACAGTCTCCCGCACAACCCAAGGCTRATACTCAAAGCCCTTCCCCAAGCTCCGGTGAAGTCCAAGTAAGACCCAAATCAATTCAAGCCCATTCTAAGTCTCAAACTGCGTCTCGTCGGGACTCAAAAGAGCTCAAAATATCTCACAAGGGATCCAGCGTATCACACAGTCGTGAACCAGGAGAAACAAAAACTCGTCCCACTCACCAGGTGTCAAGTGATGCTCACCCTCAACCTCAGAGTTCACGCAGAAGCTCCAGTGAGGTTCCGCCATCTCAGAAAGATGCCAGTGAGACACAATCRCTTCGAAGGGGCTCCGGTGAAGCTACTCAGCGTCGAGGTTCAAGTGAAGCAAAAGCTTTGCGACGAGAATCCAGCGAGTCTCAATCTGCCCGCAGAGGCTCCAGCGAATCACCGACGTCCCCTGCAGCCTTGGGACAAGTTGTAACTCGATTAACAGGGCTTCTTGGGGAGCAGTGGGCACAGCTGGGGAGCAGCTCTGGAGCTCAACAGATGGCCACTCAACAGGAAAGCCCCAGCGCACAGAAACAGACGACAACTAAAAAGACAGAGGCTGGAAAGGGGACCTCGGCCAAGCCCGCAGGCAAAACAGCCCCAGCAGCAACAACAACAACAAAACAAGCGGGCAAGCCTGGAGCTTCCAAAATGAGTTCTATTCAGAGTCAACTGGTCAGCTCCCTCAGTGTTCTGTCTGCCTTCTACTCTCCAGCACAGAAAGCAGCTGCAGCGAGCAAACAGCAAGAACAAGGTAGGCATKTGTTGGATCTGACCATCAGAAAGCTGCTTATCTGCTTGCAACAATGAGCTAAATCTCTTCCTCTCACATATTCCAGACATTATCCATTCACAAAGCTCTGCAGCTGCCTTAGCCACGCTGCCTAATTACAACATATCCCCTATGAGCTCCCATTAAGGAGAAGTATTAATACGTACATGGAGTAATATTTTACTCTCTATAGGCCGATGATGCAGCAGAGCATTCTCAGAATGATTTGACTGTTTTGTTTTTTACATTTCTGCTGTGCCAATTTGTGTTTTTTTAGCTTTTATTTATGAAGGTAATTTATTGAGAAGTAGTCTCATTGTTAAGACAGGCCATTTTCTAATGAGAGATCACATTACTGCATAACAGCAATTTTCCCAGTGATGTAAGGCGCTCTTATGAACAAATAAAAAAAAAAAACAACAAGCATTTATAATGGTTACAAGAGGAACTTGAAATCACAAAGGCTTTATTCATTTAACAAGAAGCTAAAATACATGCTGACAAACCAAGTACTAAAGGGAATCCAGACTAGATCATTCACAAAGACTGTAAAATACTGTAGTTTTTATAATTTATTTAAATTACTTTATGTTGACACATGGACAGCAACAACTTATTAACATCACAAAGCATACCAGAATGATAAATAATGGTGTTTGCTAGGTTTTCCGATGGTGCAAGGCTACGAGCTCTATCCRCCCTGAAGGTTGACAGAGAGGAGAAGGTAGAAATGACAGCTTGAAAATGGAAATACGGATAGAGGACAACAGGGCTGCTTCATGAAAGGAGAGCCTCAGCTTAGCCCCGTTAGCTTTCACGTTAGCACCTAAGCTAACATGGTGATATAGTTTTAGCTAAAATATATATACAGTATATATATATTAGTAGTAGTTAGACCTCCCGGTCTACCAAGGACCCAGCCCACCTCGACCGGGTAGGCCGGGTCCTCCAGAGGACCCAGCCTACCATTTTGGACACAGCCTATATCTATATACTCTATGGCTGTGTCCAAAACGGCAGGACGGGTCCTCCGAAGGTCGAATTTGTCGGCCGCATACGTCACAGCGCCGCGACGAAGGACGTCCAAAACCGAAGACTCCTCCGATGCGTCCRACAAATACGTCCTTCCTTTGGCCCGAATCGAAGGACAGGTCCGATGGATCTTTCCCGGCCCAGCATATCCCATAATGCATTGCGGCCCGACCGGAGATTTTTTTTATGCTAGTAATGGCGGATGAAGCGAGAGAAAAGAATACATTTTAAATAAAAATATGGTGAAATAAAAATTTAAAAAATTAGCGGTTGTAATTCTAATACTTTTATCATTTGTATGGACATGTTTTTACATATTATTTTTTCATCATAAAAACGTGAAATAAACATGCACCTACAGCGGGTCAATTAGTTCTTCAAATGATACTTATGTTAATTTTATAGTTTTGTGATGTTAATAATGCTAATGTATTGATAATTTTCTAGTTTTGATTTAAGTTAGCTTGTTTAGCGTCGTCACAGTTGCTAGGTGACAAGACGTACGCCGGGGTAAAAAGGGAGGCTAGACCGTCCAAATTCACAGCCTCTTTTTTTCCGGTCTTCCCGGTCTACCAAGGACCCGGCCCGCCGAGACCGGGGAGTCTGGGTCCTCCGGAGGACCCGGCCTGTTGTTTTGGACACAGCCTATATGTGTATTTTAGCTCAGATGCTAACAGAAACGCTGAGKTTCTCCTTTCATGAAGCAGCTCTATTTTTCTCCATCTGTATGTTCGGTTTCAGGCTCTTTGCTACATTTTCCTCTCTTTCAACGTGCTCTGCTTTCATTTTAAAGGGCTGATTGTCAGATATAATTGAGAATAATCTCAATTATTTGTTTTACTTAGAAAATTTTGTAACAAAGAACTTAGCACACTGGCTACAGAATAACYGGCTAAAATAAATAAACAACAAAAGAATATAATCCTTGGTTTGGCTAAAATTAGTTGTTCGTAGTGACTTTGTTTGGTAAATGGTAAATGGACTGTACTTWTATAGCRCCTTTCTATCCATCCAGGACACTCAAAGCGCGTTRCACTACAGACATTCACCCATTCACACACACATTCMCACACTGATGATRGCAAACTACAATTGTAGCCACAGCTGCCCTGGGRCGCACTGACAGAGGYGRGGCTGCCATACACAGGCRCCACCGGACCCTCKGACCACCATCAGTAGGCAAGGCGGGTAAGGTGTCTTGCCCAAGGACACAACGACTGAGTCGACTGGACRGGGATCRAACTGGCGACCTTCCGRTTCCAGGACRACTCCCCTAACCACTCTACCACAGCCGCCCCRTTTGAYTTCKYGTCATCTTCACTTACTGAGCTCCAGAAGTAGAGCGTTTTGTCCTACGAAGTGAATCACTCTGTTCATTTTGTTTAYTTTATTGATTGTAGTCAATCTTCTGTGCCAGCACATGCCCCTGTAAAGTTTCCTTTTTAATCTTCAGGTCAAATTCACTCCAAAWCTACATTTTTATGTGTTTGTCACTTGGCACAATTTGCTTTACCATTTATCATGCATAACTCAGTCGTTTTTGCAATACACACTGTGTTTTTCTGAAATATAGTAACCACTGGTTGCTGTTACTAAGGAGGAAAACATACATCCTACCTTGGATAAATAATATGGTTCTCTGACTCCCTATGGCACATCAAAATCTCCTTTATTATTATATACATTATATAAAACCCACATTCATACATTAAAAATAACCCATGCTTATCGAGAGTCAAGAGGACACTCAAGCAGTCTCTCACTCATACATCAAACAGATTGCGCCTGTTTTTCTTCCCTCGGTGTCTCGAGTGTTGCACTTCTAGTCAGGAGCCGGAGCTGCAAACCACATTTTATGTTAAAAAGTTCACATTTAGTTCAGTTCTGGGAGTACTGTGTACTGGAATGCATTAAAGGGAGGTGTACACGTCTGTATTTATACTGTATGTGTTCTAAACTTGGCAGTGTTTCTGAGGTTATCATGGACATCAAAAAAAAAAGCCTGGTTTTTCTTCACATGATTCTGTAATGAAAAACATTCCTTCGGCACAAGAGATCTCACTTTTTCTACTTAGATAAAACTTTAAATAAGCTTTGAGGATTTTCACACAAAAACTAAATTTAATCTAAATCTCAAAGGATCTCCAATCTAAAGGACAAGTTCAAATCATCATGTATTTCTTAAACGTTATCAAACATTTATTGTATTAGAACATGACAATCCGATTTTAAATCCATTCTTTACAGTGCTTCTCCCCGTTTGTTGCTGAGAGATAAACTTGATCTAAAAGCACCATTCATCTTGTCGGGATCTTTTTAGAGTGTTGTYTGGCACAACGCCACGTCTTTGTATTTGTGAAAAGCATTATAGATTCACTGCACCGTGCCTGCTGTAAGACACAACTAGGACATCCGTACTAGGCTTAACGCCAAGGGGAGTCAGCAGAAARAGCCAATGCAGAATCAATTATTAGCCAGTTACATACATAAACAGACCTGACAATGTCAAGGTTGTATATTATCAGGGAGTTTGYATAATGCTTACTTGGGTATGTAACCATGAGAAAAACATATACAGTATAGCCTGCATCCGGATGATTTTATTGAAAAAAACAAAAGAAACTTTGTTTAATTTAATATAGCAATATATATATAGCTTTTCTGGTATCTGTCAATATGAAAGTAATATTTTTTTATTCTCTCCACATAAAGAATTTTCTAGCTATATTGTTCCTCTTGCATTGGTTGTATGTATGTTTTTTTCTCTCTCGTTAGAATACTCCAGGCTCAATTTAACTGACAATCACACTACAAAAAAAATGAGCCGTTGTGAGTCAGGGAATGCTGAGCATCTTGTCTCCTTTAGGTTGCGGCACACATTTGACAACGCCGTCCCAAATTTATAAGTATATCATCACAAAACCACCACTGAAGGAGCTGCTCTTGATATTCTTTGTAGTCAGTTGTATTAATAGCATCTTTATTTCCAGGTTTGTGCTCTGTCCCGCCCCCATCAATTCTGTCCAATGGGAGCAATGACTTTGAAATTATAGTCCGCTTGCAAAAAGCTCAATGTGAATGAAAACTGCACCAAAGGAAAAAAATAATAAAGTCCGCTATTTGGTCCGGACCAAA